GAATTGGACCTATAATTTTTTAGGGTTGTTGAAAGTGATAAGGTTTATTGGGGTAACCAAAATTAAACTGAATTGGATATGGACTTTTGAGGTCCATCACAATCGTTTTACTATGTGAGAATTTTGTGTGCGATACTGTGTGTTTTAATAAGGTTGGACCGCCGGACCACAGCCCACGTTTAGGCATATGGTTAGGATATGGTTGGGACTTTTGGAAGGGTACATTAGCCCACTGGAAATAACCTTCGTCCCGATTCAATTGGGTGACTATACATGTGGGGCCCAAGGATATGGGAGACCAATCGAACTTTCAATTGAGAATTTGCACTTTGGGTCCGTAAGCTATGCCTCTTAAGCACTTCAGTACCCGTCAAATTTTCTATGTAGTCATGCCTTCAAACTATGATATTTCGTGCAAGTTGGTTCAAATGGATGAAAAAACATAAGCCCATGTTTGGTAGAAGATTTTAATCTAAATCAAATTCAACAATTAATTTTAACAACATACAAGGACGGATTCAAGATCGAACTACAAATCGAATTAATACGTAAAAAAAAATTCTACTAAAAAAATTGAATGGGCTTGGGCGGACCCTCCCCCGCCCTCGGATCCGTCCCTGACCACATATTTTATTAGATCCATAGCTTTACAATTACATATTTGATCAGCTTCTATCAACATTTACTAAAAAAATCTAATTGTAATCCCTATCAAACATGGGATAAATTTCCTTGTTAAACTGTCACGTAACTTGCATGTGGCCTAATTTTTTCGAATATTTCTGTATGCTCAAGTTTATTCCATCAAAACAATAAAACAAAGGAAAAATGAAAAAATAAATATATAAGGGAAAACAATAAAAGGAATTAGTTTAAGAGCCAAATATCTTGAAGGGGTCCATGACAATTAGTACGTGAAAAATAAGATAAATATTGGAGCAATATTGAAAAGTTTAATCAATTGTTATTCATTGCAATAGTTTACAAAATTTAAAACAATTTCGTGTTTCTATAATTAATTTAATTATTAGTTTAACTGTGTAATGGAATTACATTTTGTTGAAGTTGAATATTGAACCTCGTATAAT